CTGATAATCCTTATATTTTTAATGCCAATCTTCAGAGATACTTCCAAAATTTCGAGTTTACAAATGAGCATTATCTTTTTGTAGGGGATATAAATATAAATTTATTATCATCCATGACAGATTATGTCGTAGAATATTGTAATATAATGAGTGAATCAGGTTTTACATCGACTATAAACGAACCCACAAGAATAACAAATAACTCAAAATCATGCATTGATCATATTTTTATTAAGTCAAAAAATAATAGTTTATTAGAATATATTCTCCCCATAGTTTTACAAAGTAATATCACAGATCACTGTACAACCATATTACAGATAATACTAAATAATCCTAAAATCACAATGCAACAAAAACTTAAATATACTCAAAATATAGATACTAATAAATTTTATTCATTGTTGGAAAACACTTCCTGGGAGGCTGTCTATGCCTCAGAAAATGTGGAAACTGCAACAAATGTATTTATTAAAATCATAACAGAATCACTTGAAAGCTGCACAGTCACTAAATTATTAAAAAGAAAATTTCATAAAAAAAATAACTGGATTACAAATTCAATAATAAAATCTGTAAGTAAAAAAAATAAAATGTTTCGTGTTTTGCAAAAAAATCCTAATAATTTAGAGTTATTACTAGAATATAAAAATTATAAAAACAAATTAACAAATATAATAAAAGCGGCAAAAAGAAATTATTACAATGATCTAATTAATAGAAATAAATTTGATTCAAAAAAATTGTGGAAAGTAGTTCAAAATATTACCGGATCTTATTCAAAACCAAAAGTTATAAGTAGTTTACAATCTGGTAATACCATTATAACAAATTCTAAAGATATGGCTGATGAATTTAATTTAACCTTTGCAAATATAGGAAAATCGTTAGCTCAAAAAATAAAACCAAAACTTAATCAAAATGTTACATTTACAAAAAAAAACTCTTTATCATCATTAGTGCTGCTACCTACAGATAACCAGGAACTAAAAAACGTAATATTACAATTAAAAGATAACAAATCACCTGGAAATGATAATTTAAGTTCAGAAATAATAAAATCTGTTGCCATGTTTTTAATTGAACCATTAGTTTACATTATAAATAACTGTATGACATCTAGTATTTGGCCTTCTGCATTTAAAGATTCTATCATTATTCCCATTTTCAAGAAGGGTGATAATACACAAGCATATAATTATAGACCGATTTCTCTAGTAACAAACTTTAACAAAATTTTTGAAAAAATTATTAAAAATAGAATAGTATCATTTTTAAATAGGAATAAACTCCTAGCTCAGGAACAGTATGGCTTTAAGGAAAACACATCGACGCAAGATGCAATCATTACACTTATAAACAAAGTTTCCCTAGCACTTGATAAGGGTTTGCCTTGCTTATGCACGTTCATTGATTTAACCAAAGCCTTTGATACTGTCAGCCATTCTCTACTTTTGCAGTCATTAGAAAATATAGGAGTCAGAGGAGAGTGCCTTAAACTAATGGAAAGTTATTTAAAAAATAGGAAACAATGCGTGAGAGTGGGTGATGTTTGCAGTGAGAAATTAACCGTTGAATATGGCGTACCGCAAGGTACTGTATTGGGGCCAATATTATTCTTAATATATATAAATGATCTATTCACTTTGCCAGTTAAAGGCTTTATTATAGGATTTGCGGATGATACAGCCGTTTTTCATTGGGCTGAAACATGGGATCAATTGAAGGAAGTTGCACAAAGAGATCTGTCATATATTAATGACTGGCTTAACTATAAACTGTTAACAATTAATCTGGAAAAAACTAGTTACTTACCTTTTACATGTAATAAATCAACAATTCCATCCTTTGATTGCTTGAATATAGAAATCAACAGAAACATTTTTACGATTCTTCCTGAAACAAAAGTCAAATATTTAGGTGTATTATTAGATTGTCATTTACGTTGGGATAATCATATAAATTATATTATAAAAAAACTTCAGTCAATAATACATACCTTTAAGTATCTCGGTAGTTTGTTATCCATGCAGTATTTGAAGACCATCTATTACTCCTTAGTGGAAAGCCATATAAATTATGCTATATTAGCCTGGGGCTCTGCTGTTAAGAGTCATATTGAACCTCTTCAAATACTGCAAAAAAGATTTCTAAAGATAATATTTAAGAAGGAACAAACTTACTCTACTAGCGAATTATTTAGTGAAGCCAAAATGCTCGATATAAGGCAACTATACTATTATAATTGTATCTCTAGATATCATTTAGTAGAGGACAAATGCGAATTAATCACACATCACTATGAAACAAGGAAAATAAATAAATACTTACCTCCTTTGATGCAAAAAAATATAGGTCAAAGATCCAATATGTATTTGGCTCCAAAATTATATAATACGATACCTGATTATTTAAAAATTCATAATGCGTCATTTTCTTCATTCAAGAAAAAACTTAAAATATATATATTGGAAACGCCTAGAGAAGTGTTGTATGAATATTTTCATTAGGTTCCAGCAGACTAGTGCACCTAGTTCGTTGATGTAGTTTGTGTATTTTTTTAGTGTACTGTATTTTTATGCAACTGTTGGTTTATATGTAATATATGTATGTTTATTGTGAATATGCACTGAAATTTCATTGTAAGTACTGTATTCCTTTCCTTTTATTGTGTTTATCTTGAAACAAGTGTTAAACACTTATCGAGTATAAATTTATTCACTTTTTATGTATATGTATGTATATATGTGTATATATGTACATTATTGTATTGTTGATATTATTTGAATAAATATTATTATTATTATTATTATTATTATTATTATTTCTGATGCAATAGTTTCACTCAGTTATACTCATATTAATAGAATGAAAATTTCACTCAGTCGGGTGTGGACAGAGTAAAATTGAGTGAAATTTGAGAAATTTTTTAGTCTAAGTGTAACATGAAAAAAATATAAAAATGTAACATAAAACTTAGAAGGTTAGTATTATTCTCGGTAATATACATTATTTGCTGCATAAAATGTACTATTTTTCTTAAATAAATTGTACTTTCGCTTGTTTAAAAATTATTATAAAGTTTTCTGTTACTTTTATTTATTCGATCTATCATAATGCTGAATTCTGTTTACATATATTTAATTAAAACGTTTTTTTTGTATATCAATTGACAAACTGTAGTTGTTGTTGCAAAACAATCAATTCAATTGTTATCATACATTTTACTCAAAAAATCTATGAAAATATTATTTCTCATAAAAATAGAAAAAATTTTAAATTGTTGTATTATACTGCATTATATCTATTATTGAAAATGGTTGTGATTAATATTTTTTTAATAAATTTTGATTATGTTGCAAAAATTTNCCACCTACGAAGGCTGTCCAGGCCTACACGAGATGAGGCAGGATAAAGAGGGATAATCCCCCTCGATCCCAAATCATTGAGGCCAATTTCTAGCCATGGAATAATGGCGCGGTACTGTTTAATTTGAGACATTTTATTTAACAGAAACACAGGTTTAATCGTAGTAAAAATCGTAGAAAAATGAGGAACTTATCTGCTATCCAGTGGACGCTCGTGACATTGAGAATAGATGAAGCATATTCATTGATTGACTAAAAAGAAAAAAAAAGCGCCGCAGGCGAAAATGTTCAAATTTTCAAAATCAAACGGCTTTAAACGAATTGCAAATTTTTAGTTGCATTATTACCGAAAAACTAACGTTTGTGAAAAGGATTTTCATTTAGATTTTATAAAAAATAGAAATATTAGTTCGGCTTGTGGACTTCTACGAACATTAACACACACCGTACATGTATTTTCCAAAGAAACTTTCTGGTTACGACAGCCTCGCACGACGCACAGTGGGGCAGAATCCCAAAAAGCTGGCCAAAAGTCAAAAAATAAAGTTTCTAATTCGGTAATTTTTACTATTGGACTGATTAGAGTAATATCCCAAGTCTCAGAATCAATTACTATTAGGGTCAAATTCCTTATACCAGCGTTTTAAATCATTACAAAGGCGACCGCTGCTCGAGCGTAGGAACAGAAGTAATAGTTGTTTTTAAGTGGTTATAAAATTTCATACAGTTCACCGATTTATCTCTAACAAAATGGAATCAACTCATAAATGTACGTAGATTATGAATATGTAGGTTAAAATACTCAATATTTTTACAAAAAAATAGTAATTGGCTACCAAATATGTGAATTTTACGTTATAAAATGAATTAATAATTTAGTTTTGAAGAAAAAAGTTTAATAATTCTGCAGAATTCTGTCATTTAACTTATTGGACAAAAAAGACAAAACTATTATCTGTAAACTAAAAAAAAATCAGCTGCCTATAAGTGCCTAACAACTTTTTGTATAGGTTTTTGTAAAATATAGAGTAAAATGAATTTCACCTTCTCTGGTCGATGTAAGACATGGGAAGATTGCAGATAAAGACGAAATTGCCTCAACTTAAGAAGATTTTTCATCTGATGATGATTCTATTCTTTTATGAAAAAAACTGGAATTCTATATTACAACTTTGGCACGGGATTCAAATAAATTAATCCCGATACTTATTTAACGAAGTATATGAATAGTCTAATATGTCATTTGTCATTTTTACATCTTCCTCATGCTTGATAAATGTGACATTTTGTTTTTCATAATCATTTAATTCTTAATCCCTATTTAAAAAATATTTCTACTTCTGATATGGTTATATTAAATCCTCCACAGTGAATTTTGTAATTCCGACTCCAAAATCGTTATCACCGACCCCAAAAACCCCCGAGTAACAAATTTCAGATCGATTTTTAAAGATTTTGACTTTTGGCCAGCTTTTTGGGATTCTGCCCCACTGTGCGACGTTCCCAAAATTGTTAAATCTCTCCTTATTCCACACGCCCGACTTTACATCCACAATTAAACACAGCATACCAGAAAAGTTTTTTTTAAATAAACACGTCGACACAACCACTCTTATACTCGCGAATACCATTCATTCCGAAACTTGACTTCCCCTTTCTTCCATATCCAGGTAATAAGGCACAGGTCTCTCGTAACTAAAAAAATCCTTTTTGTCCTCAATTTTTCCATCTGGAAAATGGCGATTCCAATAAAATACATATTGGATCGTTACATAGGAAACATTTCTATAATAATCAATACTATCAATACTTGATTTATTGATTGATTGATTGATTTAAAGACCTAACTTTTTCAAAAATTTGCCGGTCAATATTCTGCTAGTGGTACATATTTTTATCTATGGGTATCCTTTTAAAATGTATACACTTCCTTGTATAATTTTGTTGTTAATTTAATTTAACATTTCATTTGCAGTGGGGCAAAATACCAAAAAAATTAAAAACTATGTGATTAAAGACATTCTACAGAAATTGTTATTTTACTATTTCTGCACTGGTCTTACTTAGGAAATTTCAACCTATGGGAAATTTATTTTAAAAAATCCCAATTTTTGCGTTACTGGGATATTAAATTTATTGTCCAGTAATACGAATCTTTTCACGTCAGTAATATAATTCACCAGAAGACGTATACAAAAAAAAAATCCGTAAAATGGCCTGAACACGACAGTTTCGATGGAAGCAATGTGGTTGAATGTATTGTTCTTTTATATTCTCCATTCCATTTAGAGCTTTTCTACTTTTGCTAGCTTGTCTTTATTTCGTTAGGATTTCCAGCGTATTTCCGATCAATTTCTTTTAACTGGCATTTTGACAATGTCTTTCCAAGAATGTGGGTACAATTTATATACCTGCAAAGAGTCAAAACGGTGTATTATTTTTCTTAAAAAAAAGTAAAATTATTCTATATTTACGAAGCACAGTGGTGTAGGTATACCTACTTACAATCATTAAACAATATGCAGTACAAACCGAATACTCAATATTTAACTTTAAGTTTTTTGCCAATAAAGAAAAGATAAAATTTAATCACAAACCCCTACACCAAAAAAATCAATCATAATAATTTTTGTGAAATGTTACAGGGTGATTCACAAACAGTGACCAAAAATGAATCCACGTATTCTTTGGTGAATTTTAATCCTATAAATTCCTATAAAGTTTTTATCTAGGACGCTACGTTAAAAAGATACAGGGTGTTAAATTAAAAAAAAATATGTTCAATTATTTTTAATAATTTAAAATCTAGTAAGTGAAATAATTTGCATTTGGGCACATGTATTTATGTAAACATTGTCCAAAATATGTGGCCTTTTTCTAAAATTTAAATACTTCAGTAGCGGAGATACAGGGTAATCATGATATTTTCGGATTCGTCTTTCAATTTTCTACAAATTACTAGGCATGTTTTTCGAAAAAAGTCTGATTTTCAAGTAAAACTTAAAAAATGAATTGAAAACACCGGACCTCAACCCACTGGATTTCTTTTTGTGGGGTGCTGTTAAACGGCTGGTTGAACAAATATAATGCTTTTCATCAGATTGAAACAACAATAAATTTCGAACAAATTACATTTTCGTTACTTACTAAAAAGATGTCGCGGCTATGTTCGTGGAAATTGAGGTACCGAATGATTAGTGTTTGTTTTACGTTTTTTAAGTTTTACTCGAAAATTAGTAGAAAAATGAAAGACGAATCCGAAAATATCGTGGTTGTTACCGCAAAACAGTGTCATACTATTTTATTTAGAAAAATATGTCACCGATACCCTGTATCTCCGCCACTGGAGCATTTAAATTTAAAAAAAGACCTCAGATTTTGGACAATGTTTACGTAAATACATGTGCCCAATTTCAAATTATTCCACCTACTAGTTTTTAAATTATTTAAAAAAATTTAAACTAAATTTAACGAAGAGACTAGATAAAAACTTTGTAGGAAAGAATAGAAGAATAGAAGAAATTCACCAAAGAATATGAGGTTTCATTTTTGGTCACCGTTTGTGAATCATTATAATTTTTGAAATTTGTGGTTTAATTTTTCCTGATTATAGTTTTCTGCAGTTGCCCACGAATTTTGGGTTCGAACGGTTGCAATAAAATAATGATGTATCATTTTGTATTTTGTTGTTAGTTACTGTTTTATTATATTTTACAATTTTTCTTCTTTCCTAAAACAGCTTTTGTTTTAATGTCACATATTCTTATTATCTTAGGAAAATAATCCAATATGTCAACTATTCACTTTTTTACATTTCTATTCCCTAGTATCTGTAAAAGATCCCCAACAGAATGGAAAAATATCGACTTTGAGAAAGACCTGTTGATGTCATCGTTCTCAAATTGCAGAAGCATCCACTTCTACATCCTCCATTGTCCATGAAATGGTATTTTGTGTATCTTTTAACATAAAAGATAAAGGTATTTACTCTGGCTTACATTTTAGATTCTCATTAAATCAAGTTATGTGTTAAATTGAATGCGGTAACATTTCTAGCTGTCTAATTTAATGAGTAATAATTATCCGGAGGGAAATCCAATAATCTTTGTTAGGTTTGAATATATAGGTACTAAAAAACGTAAATTTTATCATTTTTTGACTTATCTTGATTTATTTTAAGTGCTATGTTGCTTTAGGCTATTAACGCCACTTTTGCTCGTGTATTTGAATGACTTTTCAATGTGGTGTTACGTTTATAATTAACCAATTTTATTTTCCTTTTTAATTTAAACCTATTGATATGTTTACGCTAATGAATTTTTCATGAGGTGCACTATATGTTATTCTTTTGTGAAGTTTTGTGAAACCGGAAATGTCGTCATTACTGTCATTTTCTTTAAGG